TAATGGGTGATACCATCACCTCAGTAATGGGTGATACCATCACCTCAGTAATGGATGCCACCATCACCTCAGTAATGGGTGATACCATCACCTCAGTAATGGATGCCACCATCACCTCAGTAATGGGTGATACCATCACCTCAGTAATGGATGCCACCATCACCTCAGTAATGGGTGATACCATCACCTCAGTAATGGGTGATACCATCACCTCAGTAATGGGTGATACCATCACCTCAGTAATAGGTGCCACCATCATACACACACACACACACACACACACACACACACACACACACATACACACACACACACACACACAATCATGATGAAGCCATGGAGCAGGAAGAGTGTCCTAGTAGCGTCCAGTGAAGAGGCGGGGCCAGGAGCTGTGACTCGACCCCTATAGCCACAACTAGGTGAGTACACTCAAGTTAGGGATAAAGAAAACAAGTCCAGAATCCACTTATTTCTTTTATTTTTTTCTGCCCAACGATAAAGAAACGTCGGGTTAATCACTGTATTGTATAACAAGACAATTATGGTGCGTTATGTACAGATGATATACAGAAGTAGACAAATAAAAATTAAACCCCTAGTAAGGATAGTGAGAGAGAGAGAGAGAGAGAGAGAGAGAGAGAGAGAGAGAGAGAGAAGTGGGACTGTGTGTGTGGGTACATTGGATGTTTTCCTGCTTTGGTTATCACCCCGCTGTTTCGCCCACTGCTACCCTCACACCCTGGCAGGAGGATAGGCTGGGTGATAGGGGGATAGTAGGTAAGGATGTGCAGTGGCAATCCGTCTTCGTTATGGCTTCGGTGATGCCGGAACTGAGTCGGGAGAAGGGAGGGGAGGAAGTCTAGCAACCACGGTGTTGCGACAGACTGCGACTTGACAGAGGGCCGTCTACGCTGAAGATGCGACAGGAGAGAAGGCCGTCTACGCTGAAGATGCGACAGGAGAGAAGGCCGTCTACGCTGAAGATGCGACAGGAGAGAAGGCCGTCTACGCTGAAGATGCGACAGGAGAGAAGGCCGTCTACGCTGAAGATGCGACAGGAGAGAAGGCCGTCTACGCTGAAGATGCGACAGGAGAGAGGTCCGTCTAAGATGATGCGACAGTAAAGAGGGCCGTCTATGCTGAAGATGTGACAGGAGAGAGGGCCGTCTACGCTGAAGATGTGACAGGAGAGAGGGTGGTCTACGCTGAAGATGCGACAGGAGAGAGGGCCGTCTATAATGAAGATGCGACAGGAGAGAGGGCCTCTACGCTGAAGATGCGACAGGAGAGAGGGCCGTCTACGCTGAAGATGCACAGGAGAGACTGCTGTCGACGACCAACACTGCAACAGAAAGGGATAGGAAGGGCCCCGTCTACAATGAAATTACGACAGGACTGTCGCTGTTGTCAGTGGCATTGCAACAGACCGTGTCAGGAGAGGTCTTAGGGTACCATCCTTTCCCTATCACAGGAACAAGAGGTCCTCTTCGCGTTCCTCGAGTCCTATTAATCAGCGTGGAGCCACAACGATGCGGAATACGGCGCGTCTCCTGCATGTGGAGGTTGAACCTCCTGGAGGAGGCGGTGGTAAGCCTCCTGGAGGCTGAGTTTGAGCCTCCTGAAGGAGCCCTGGGATCCTTCACAGCTAACACTGATGCCCCACGTCACTGTTCATGAGGTCATAGGGGAGAATGGGAGGTAAGCAGGTTTGATCCAAGGTTAGGGTTGGCTCTAAATCCCTGAATCGAGAGCCCTTTACCTGGGCACCGCCCTGTTAGGGTAATGCATCAGGGCACTGTAGTAAGGGAGCCACAAGGGAGAGGAAAGAGATATGAAGGGAGAGAAAAAGGTATAGAAAAGAAAGAGGAAGAGGAAGAGGAGGAGGAGGAGGAGGAGGAGGAGGAGGAGGAGGAGGAGGAGGAGGAGGAGGAGGAGGAGGAGGAGGAGGAGGAGGAGGAGGAGGCGGAGGAGGAGGAGGAGAAGGAGGAGGTGGGGACCTATATACAAGGAGCAACAAAAAGAAGAATCTGTATGTACAGAGATGGCCGGCACAAGTGAGGTGCACACAGGTATATACATACACACACACACACACACATACACACACGCACACACGCATACGCACACACGCCCATGTACACACCCCGGCCGACACTAACTAACACATTGGCCTGATCCGTACGAACGCACCGTCCGAACTTCTGTCCGAACTTCCGTTCCAACTTCTGTCCGAACTTCCGTTCCAACTTCCGTCCGAACTTCCGTTCCAACTTCTGTCCGAACTTCCGTTCGAACTTCCGTTCGCTTATGGCATTTAAGAAACTTTTTGGGGGAGACATTCACTCTCTTAATTTTTTTTTCACTGTTTTCTCACATATTTTTCTCATTATGTTTTGTAGTAATATTTATGCGATTATCACATTTTTAAAGATTCTCTTTTTTTTATATTATTTTTGAGTTTTTCGTTCCTGCGAGAGGACGAAATTATCACTGGGTACGTTTTGGACCGACGCCTGGACCGCTGGACCAACGTTTGGGATGATGGGCCAACGTTTGGGATGCTGGACCGACGTTTGGGGTGCTGGACCGTCGTTTGGGATGCTGGGCCAACGTTTGGGATGCTGGGCCAACGTTTGGGATGCTGAACCGACGTTTGGGATGCTGGGCCAACGTTCAAGACGCTGGGCCAACGTTTGGGATGCTGGACCGACGTTTGGGATGCTGGACCGACGTTTGGGATGCTGGGCCAACGTTCGAGACGCTGGGCCAACGTTTTAGATGCTGGACCGACGTTCGAGACCCTGGGCCAACGTTTTGGATGCTGGACCGACGTTTGGGATGCTGGGCCAACCTTTGGAATGATAGTCCAACGTGAAGAACGGTGGACCAACGTTTGGAATGCTGGTCCAACCTTTGCACTCTTGGTCCGTCTCCAAGACCATCCGACCAATCTCCTAGACCACTGGACCAGTTCCTGGGTAGTTGGGCCAACTACTGGAAATTCTGGTCCAGCTCTGGACTCCTAGATTGACACATGGATTGTTTGACCGATTCTGGGACAGTTGGTCTAATGTTTGGGCCTTTGACCCAGCTGCTGCTGCTGTAGTGTTGGACCAGTTTTAAGACCGCTGGACTTCGTCCGGTCCGTTGGACCAGATTACAGCTAGGCTGTTGCGTCACACTTGGACCGTTGTAGGACCCGGTGTTCCACCATATCCGGACCGCTGGACCACGGCTGGAATCTTAGATCTATAGCGGACCACTGGAGGAATGCTGGTCCAGGCTTGAACCGATGCAGAGACACCTTTGGACTGCATCTGGAGTGCATTCGAACAGCCGAACCAAGCTCGAATGGGACCACTGGACCACGCCTTGGACCTCCGGTTCACCACCACGGTATGGACCCCTTCTGAATTTGCCTTTGGCCTATTGTAAAAAAAAACACACCTGGACCACTGCAGGCCTACTGGATTACATCTCTGGACCGCTAGAGGACCACCGGACCACGCCTGGGCCAACCCCTCAGGGTCATGAGGTGGATAGGGTCGATTTTCCTATACATCTGAACGTTAAATTTATCGACTGAATTGTATCTTTTCGTTTTAAGGGTTTTAGTGGGTGGTTTTAGGGTTGAGGGCGTGGGCGGCCTGTTGAAGAACACCCCTCGGATGAGGGGTCAAAGGGAAGGGGAAAGGGGGAAGTTTGGTAGCCTCACCCCTTGATATCCCTTAGGCAGATATCCCTTAGCCAGGTGAGAATACCTCGTACGCCCACTTGGAATTACATGTGGGTGAGAGGCATGGGCGCGGGCGGCATCTGGTCGGGGGAGGCGGCGCCGTGGGCGTGGTAGTGGGCGTGGGACATGTAGGCGGCTGCGGCCACGGCCTTCTGCTGTTCGTGGCGCTCTTGGGACCCCGGCAAGTACATAGAGATCATCTGGGACAGGTCCTGTTGACCCGGAGCAGCTGATCCATACTCCCGCTTCATAACACCTGCACGAAGAAACAGATTTATTGAAGCTAAGTCTCCCGGAGACAGATTTATTGAAGCAAAGTCTCCCGGAGAAAGATTTATTGAAGCTAACTCTCCAGGAGACAGATTTATTGAAGCTAAGTCTCCCGGAGACAGATTTATTGAAGCAAAGTCTCCCGGAGAAAGATTTATTGAAGCTAACTCTCCTGGAGACAGATTTATTGAAGCTAAGTCTCCAGGAGACAGATTTATTGAAGCTAACTCTCCACGAGACAGATTTATTGAAGCTAACTTTCTAGGAGCCCGATTAATTGAACCTAACTCTCCAGATGAGTGGTGAGGTGGAGCAGGTGAGTGTGTCAGGTGTCATGTGTGGATGTAAGTGTCATCTAGTTTTATTGTCGGGTTTCTCCAGTGAGATGAGTTTGGTACATGACCTGGCAATGGTAAATGCTCCTAATTCCATTCAGTACTCTAAGGAATCTGTATTATCGCTGCTTCCAAACAACGCCTTCTCATTGAGTCGCCTTCGTTTGTGTTGTTATTAGCAGTGCGTGTTTTTCATAGATGTGTTCGAGGATTCGGGTTTCTAGGCTGCATGTTGGTTCACCAATAAAGTCTATTGCACAATTCGCAAGGGAATCTTGAACGCTTTTGTTTACATGTTTGTCGTAGTCAGCCTGTTTAGTTGTTACAAATGTTATGAGCGCCTTCTCGTCACTCTGAGAGTCCAGGCTGCTGTTGAAGATATAGTGAATCTCTGTTTTTTGTCTCTGTTCTCAGGAAGGTTACTGAGAATTTTCCATGCCTTTTCTACGCAGTCAAAAGCACAGGAGTAATGAATCAGCCACATACACCCTCGACACAGTGTGTAGTGTCACACCAAACTTCATTAAAGTCAAACTTCTCATACTCCAAAACTCCCTCAGATTTAAGGTGTACAGACAACCCACTAATAAGGACAATTTCAACCAACTCTCGTCCTGCCTCTACAAATGTACCAAACTTGGTGTCTTCACCGGCGTCTC